TTTACGGTCATATGAGGATGGCGCAGGCGGAGTATAGAGACAACGCTCGGGTATGACTACTTTCCACCCCCGGTTTCCATTTGAGCAGAGAATTTGGCAAACCGGTTTAGCGTCACTCCGCAAAGGGAAAGGATTGCGCTTTAAAGGCAGTTGGCACGATAAATCCCCCAAGACGACTAGGATCAATACGCCTGGCAGGACGGAATTCCGCGACCCTGAGCAGGCGCTGCATAGCGCTTCTCCAAGGATGCCCTTATAAGGCCCTATCAAGCCACAACATACCGACCCAAACGCCCGCCACGCCCGCCCGCCCACAAATGGACGACCGTTCCTGACGCTCGTATTCATTCATTTGCTAAGCAAATTATGAAGCAGTTGGTACGATAACCCCCCCCCCCAAGACGAGGATCAATACGCCTAAGGAATTGGTATGAAGCAGGTGCCCTCAGTTTACGTATTAGTTTGGCTACGCATATAACCCCCCAGGACGACCAGGATCCATACGCTAAGGTGATTGGTATGAAGCGGCCGTGATGCTGCATGCATATACAGGGGGGGGCCAAAAAAAAGTCATTTTGCCTCCATGACTTTCAAGGCGCTATAAGTTACACTTTATTAAATTTTTATCGGACATTTTTACTACCATATTAAAGAGCACATTAAATACTATAACGATACTCCGCCACAGCCTTCTGGAGGAGCGCCATCGAGAGATTCGGCCGCGCGAAAGTGAGTGGTACCGGAGTTGAAGGGCGAGAATCGTAGTCGATTTCTCCGCCACCGTAGACCACCCTCTTGAACTCCGCCCGAACTAGGTAATTGAGTGGGTTCAGGTCAGGGGACATACTTCAATATTACATCTTCTTCAGGTACGAAACGCCCTTCCATTCGAAGTAGGCGGGAGTTTTTCCAAAACCCTTTGATTCCATGTGGTGGCACCCAAACCTGTAGCAGCACAAGGTCTCCAAGAAGGTACGGGCGACCACATGTAGGGAGGATATTCTTCTCGAGTTACTTGATGTAACCGCCAGCGCTCACCTTCAGTCGGGGTCTACAAAGAAAATATCGGTCTTCCCCTTTCCAGGTACCCCGGTCCATACCATCAACTCGCGCCTCGAATACGGTGAAGATGATGTCCTAGACCGTAGCGACGTTGCCGTAGCTGGTCGATGTGGGAGGTCTTGCAGATCAAGAGTACTGACCTCCAGGTAGCTATCTGTGGATGACTTCATTCAAGAAGTTTCGCAGCTGTTTGGAGGCGACGTGAATTCCAAAGGTGTTCTCCAGTCAGGCCGCGACTGGAGATGACTTCATATTTTGGCGTACATGAAGGCGATTGGCGGCAGCCTGCTCCAGCTTATAGAGGAAGATCTTGGGTATCTTCCACTCTGGTACTCATATCCACTTCCCCTGTCTGGGCTGCGAAAACTTCGTTGATATGTGGCTCGGCCGAAATGACTTTTTTTTTGGCCCCCCTGTATGGGTCACGTATGCAAGTCGTACTTCGGTAGCGGTGGTTGGCAAGATTCAGGGAAAACTCGTCCAAAACCGTTACACTCCACTATATAGCGTCCTACTAGCATTTCAGGCCGGAGTAGAGAACCATCGTGCCAACTGCCTTTAAGGGTAGTTAATATATTGTCGTTTAAAAGGCAGCGGGTGGAGATTCAAACATTATGTCTAATCAACGATTGTTACCGTTACTGAAGAGAGCTGCTGCCAAAAGCACCAACAATCGAAGTGCTTCACCTAGGGAGAAGTAAAAGTAAATAGCAACCAGCTGGCGGTGCCCGTATCAGTGCCGTCCAGCTGTTGGCGAATTTTGCTGCAGAATTCGCCCCCTCTCGAAACTTCTTACTGTGATACCATCCCCCTTCCCCATTCCACCCACTACCTCCTAAAATTTGGCATTTTCCTACCATTGGTCCGGGGTATGTTTCCAAATACTTTAGTTTTCCCCCAAACATCTCAGGAAACACTAAAGCGATGAGGGAAGGAGGGGAGTGTCCAACAGCGCACTTGGAACCGAGAAAAGTCAACGAGCGGATTCATTCTTTCAGATGAGACTACAATCCCTCCCTCCAGCGACCGAATACGATCCTTTCGATGTGGGAACCCAATATACCACGTGCCCTGCTGCCCATGCTTGCATGGAAATAATTGTGGCCTTACAAGTGATACTCACAGTATGAAATCTGTTCGATTCGATTCCTGCACCTCCATATGAGCCGAAATCGTATGTTCACTGAGATCTACTTGCGGATGAATACGGCAGTGAATCTACAATAATATGACAATGGATAGTGGTCCCGTCACGTAAGATGTTTTCACTACCGTACCTGCAGAAGCTTGTCACGTATCGTCACCAAAGTGGTACTGCCTTCTTTAACGTGAACTAGACCACTGTACGATGAAGATGGCACTGCCTGAATTTTATTACTAGCAAGTGATGTTAGTAAAAATAAAAACAAAACGAAGAAATCTATAAAATAGTGGACCGTTTTCTCGATACCGCATTCCTCATATGGCATCGATACAGTGAACCGATAAGATGATGTCACCGACCTCTCACAGGTTACCTTTTTCAGCCGTTTCGTTTTCATTGAACCGCTGAAACAAGATATTTAGCCTTTGAAGGGTCATCAGCATGGGTCAGGAAATCCGCGTTGAGGCGGTACGGCGAGAAAGGAGCTGGATGATGCGCTCATACTTTGGCGTCAGCGTATGCCAGCATTTCAGGCGTTTGAATCGTACGCCAGCACCAAGCGACCAGGAAAGTGTAGATATCAATTCAGGGTTTTGAGCGGTATGTTGGCGTATTAAGCGTTTTTAAGAGCGGTTTGAGAGGGATTGCGAAAACGCTTATAACGCCAGCAGAAGTTCGAATAGATTGATATCCATACTTTCCTAGTCGCTTCAAACGCCGCTGTGCGCTGGGTTACGCTGGCGTACCTATACTTT